AAAAAATCCAAGCCAGGCTTCAGAGCTTTGTCCAGGAGCTGACGAGATCCCTGCAGATGCAACTGGAGGCCGTGCTGAAGCCTGTCCAGAAGAACGCCAAGATCATCCCAGGTGAGGCCGGGTCTCTCCTCCGGGCTCTGCGGTTTGTGCTGCCACAGTGCCGGGGTGTGGAGCCCAGGGGGGGGGAAGAAGGCCGGGGGGGCGCTTGGCGTCTGGGACTCCGTGGCATTTCCCAGTACTTGGGGGGAAGGGGGAGAGACCTAGGATGGACGTCGAGCGGCCTTGGGACCTTTTCAGGAGAAAGGCAGGGTAAAAATATTTTAAATAAATTTAAAAAAATAGAGTGGGAGCAGCACTTGGTGTGCATCCCGCTGAAAGGCAGGGCATTGGCCTGTGCGGAGAAGGGGTTTGAAAGTAGGAGTCTATACACACTCCCTCGAACTGGCGGAACGAGGTGGCCTTGGGAAGATCGGAGGCTGCCTTCCTGGTCGCGCCTAGAAGGCTCCCCTTGCAAAGGGACCCACGGCGAGGCAGTCGGAGAAGGGGCTGCTGTGGGATGGAGATCGCCACCCCTCCCTTGAGGGGTATTCTGACCGGCGTGACCTTGGGAGCAACAGTGGCCCCTGTGGTCTGAGGTGAATGGCTTTCCCCCCTTCCTAGAATTAATGAACATCTGTGCCAAAATGGACAAGATCTGCCGGCGCTCCTGGGTGGATTATATTCTTCCCAGCCCCACGAGGACGGCAGAGGACGGTTCCCTCTGGATGGAAGGAGAACCGCCGAAGGCTCAGGATCCCGCCAGCTTCGTGGTTCCGTTCCTGGACCTCCGGGTTGGGGCCGTCCACCTCCCTCCCGTTGCATCCATCCAGGTAGGAATGAGCTTCGCGCAAGAGGGGAGCTGTGGGGAAGGGAGAGGAGCTGTGGGGTCACGGGAAGGAGGCACAGCCTCCTGGAAGAAGATGCCCTTTGGCCCCACGCCCGAGGCCAGAACCAGAGCGACACTTGAACCGATCCTAGAATTCTTCGGAGAGAATCTGTGCCAAGGAGAGATTCTCTGTATTGCAGGAACGCTGTAGACTTCCGGAAAAGGCACGTTTTGCTTGCGCAATACAAAAGCCAGCAGCAAAACCACACAGAGTGCTTTGCCTCCCAGTGTAGGAAGCACCTCTTGCAGATTTTCCACTCTAGACCATCACGTGAAGGTTTCAGACTCAAGAGGGTTGCGCCTTCTGTCTTTAAATACTGCTGCGTTCAAGGGAGGCTTTGCTGGGATGATGGAGGTGTGTTTCAGCTACTGTGTGGTGCAGACACAAGGCTCCCTGTCAGGAGCGTTCTACAGGCACCCTTGCTAAATAAAAATCTGCCCCCCCCGGCTGCTGCCTTGTTGTGGCCTCATCTGGGTGGATGAGGAAAAGCTTTCACCTGGGGCTTGGTTTGTCTTGCTGCTCTCCTTCTCTNTTCTCTGCTTCCCTCCCGAGGCTCCGAGCAGGCCTCCCTGGTTCTCCTGGACGCTCCCTCCCCCCCCCCCCTCTGGCTTTTGGTTGCCCTCTGAGCATCAGCAACATCACAAGGGACTCATTAAGATCCCGTCTCTCTGTGTTCTCAATATCCAGTCTCTCTAACGGTGACCTTTCTCTCTCTCCCGTGTGCAAAGGTATCTGTGCAGGACCTCACTCTGAACCTGGCAGGTGAGTAACTCTAAGCTCTCGGCCCCCACCCCCTCCAGCCCCTCCTTCCCCCAAGTGGCCCCTTCCTCGTGGACTGTTTGTGGAGGAGCGGCCCTCGCGGACAACTTCCAGGCATGCGTTTAAACAGCTGTGGCTTCGGCCAGGGCAGTTTGTCGCCTTCTGGAGCGTTAAACAGGCAGAGGTACCAAGCAAAGCGTGTAGAATGGCTGAGTGTTATGTTCAGCCTGTTACAAACTACCTGGCAAAATTGGCTAGGCGAGGGGAGAGGCCTCTGCCGGTGGTTCCCCGCTTGCCTGGCGCACCTGCTGCTGCCCTGGCGTTTGTTCAGAACAGCCTTCTGAGCATCACTGTCTTTCGTCAGCTATGGTTGCATGTGTGTGTGGGCAGGCAGGGCAGGCTGTCGCTCATCTGAATCTTCTCCTCCAGACACACACGCACACCCTGGCGGGCCCATTGCAAGCACAGGTCCCCCCAAAGGTTCCCGCTCTACTGCCAGCTTCCTTCCATTGGACTGGAGGGTTTGCCAGAGGCTTCCGGACCTCAGTCCTCTCTCTTGGGATTGGCAGCTGCCTCTGCAACACGTAGGCCAGACCACAGCGTTGCTTTCCAGGGGAGCAGCCACCCCTATTGCAGCCTGCGGTGCTTCTGTGGCATCTGTTGGGCAGTTAATAACAGGAAGCGTTGCGGCTCCCCTAGTCCTTCTCCCGCCTCCGGCGATCAAAGGAGGGGGTGGGCCCATCCGAGCGTTAGACCGAAAAGAGAACCGGAGAGCTGGAGGACCCTGAAGCCTGCAAGGGGCCGCCACACAAGGTCCTCGTGAGAAACTGTTACGGGCGGAGGCACACGCCCGTTCAGTGAAGGCGGAGGGCTTGCCTAGGGATTTCCAGCGTTGGGGTCAGAGGGACGGGAACCCTGGAGGAGGCACTTTCCGGTCCCCCCCCCCAAGAAAGCCCCTTGTGGGAGAGGAGTTGTGGTCCTGGATGCCTTGCCAACCCTTTTCCTTCCACAGTTGCTCAGAAGAGCCCAGGGCCACCAGCCAAAGCGTCCGAATTCTCTCCCCCTTTCGGCCGAGACTCTTGTTGGGTCTTTGAGCTCCTTGGCCTTTTCGTTCAGGACCGCTCAGGATTGTCCAGTGGGGATCGCCCCTCAGCACGAGGGCTGATTCCGCGCCCTCTGTAGGGGTGATTCCGACAGGCGGCCTGGGGGCCAGTGGAGATGGGGTACTCCAGGGAGGGCTCTTCACCAGCGGGGGAGACGCTGACACCACTACGTGGAGGCCCCTCAGGGCAACTCTACGTCCAAGCGGAAGTTCTGGGATTCCTTTCAGCTGGTTTGGCGGAAGGGCGGAGGGCAAGCATCGTGCAGACGCAAGTGCCACGCCCCAGGGCACAGAGGGGAAGCAGCTTTCGGTCCCTCTGCACAGGGAGCCAGTTCCTTCCAGGGTGGCTGGGATGAGGCCAAGGAGGCCTTCCGGCCCAGGCCGTCTCCTGTGCCCTTCTCTGCACAGCGGGTGGAAAGGTTTTGGTGCTCCTCTTCTTGGAGTGCGGAGACCCCAGAGGAGGAGGGTGAGACTGGCAGCGCCACGTCCTCAGGTGTGCAAGGGGAGGAGCTGCCCACTGGAGAGGGAAGTTGGATGAAAGCAGCTGACTCTGGAGAGAAGGGTTCTTGCAGGGAGGGGGAAAGGGTTCAAGCGAGGCAGGAGCTTGAGGGAGGGTATAAAGGGAGGAAAGGTCGGCTGGCCAGGGCATTTGGAGTCCCATGGGGAGGGAACCAAGCAAGAAGAGCGGCCTCATGCCATGGACTGGCTGGAGCCTTCCTGGAAGCTCTGGAGGGGGGGGGGAACAGGACCTGATGGACCCGGGCAGTCTCCCAGATACGCCATCGCCTGGAGACCAGACCCAAGCCAGCAGGGCCACCCCCTTGGAGAACAGAGAAGGCACCTTTGGCAAGAAAGTGCCAGGTGTGGAGGCTCTGTCCGCTGGCCCTGTAGGGAAGGAAAGCCCTCTGGGAGTCTCTTGAGAACAGGCCTCCCCCACGGAGGGAATCCCAACCCCTGTAGGAGCTGTGCCAGAGTCACGGGGGCTGCTCTCCGGATCCTTCTGGAGGCGCTCAGGGTCCAGCCGGAGGCCCAGAGCCAGAGCAGCTCGGTTGGAGGGACCTTTAGTGGCCGGAGCAAAACGAAGACGGCTTTGATTGTGCCGGCTTCCTTTTTTGCTTTTGTTTCCCCTGCCTGGTGCCGGAAGGAGACGGCTTTGGGGGATGCGAGCAGAGTCCTTTGGGAGCCCCCTTTGGCAACGCTTCCTCCTTTCTCATTCTGCACAGATGGCACTACCGTGACTGTTTCCCTGGGAAGTGTTTGCCGCGGCGAGTGCTGCCTGCCGCTGGGGTGTCTGATCCTGTACGTTTCGTCTGAAGTTGCTGACGAAATTTACTCCCAGCGCGGAGTGCAAATGCCTTGCTCAGGTAAGCAGAAGAGCTGGCTTTCAGAGGATAAGGGGTGGGATGTGATGGAGGGATGTTGGGGGTGACTTCCTCCATTTTGCCTCCAGCCAAAAGTATTTGCTGTAGACAAGGGCTTACGCTCCCCTTGCTGCTGCTTCTCTGTATGGAGCCACGAGCCCTTTTCTAGGAGACGAAGCAAAGCCTGTCCCCTGAGGCTTTCTCCCTTCCTGAAGTCAGATGGGAAGAAGCAAGAGAAAGTGGATCGCAGGCCCTTGGGAGGCGGAGTCGCTGTTCTCGCCTGTTTCCTGTGTCATATTTATGCTGAGCTACATCAAAGGTGGTGCCTGGATGCTCTCAACCCAGAAGCCAACTTCACCCTGAAGACCGGCTTCTTCTTCGTGGCCTCTGTGAATGCACACAAATGGGTTTCAGTGCACCTGTGCAGAGACTCGTGGAAACTTCCAGAGCTTTTACACGTGTCCGTTAGGACTTCCCTCCTTTTGCATGTGCCTCCCCCACCCATGGCACGGAGTGCCTCAGTTCCTTTTTTTGCCAAGACCGCTGCAGCCGCACATCAGCCACAGAGCTCCGTTCGTTTCTGTAAGAAAAGAAAAGACGGTTAGATCTCTTCCGGCTCTTCCTCCGTTTTCTTCATTCTGCGAGTAAAAGAAAAAAGAAAGGAAAGGAAAAGAGAAACGGAGAGAGAAGACAAACCTCTTTTCCCGCCCTTTTTTCTGCTGGGCCCTTTGCTCTTTTAAAGCCTCTTCAGGCCCCTTCAAGCAATGCGAGACTTGCCCGAATAAAATAACCCTTTCTGACGGGCCTTCTCAGTGCCTCTTCTGTTTAGGTGAGGCTCACCAACTAACTCCTGCCAGGCCTGTAAACACTTAACAAAACCAGCGCTTGAACTTCAGGACCTACGATCTTTCCTCTATACAACCCACACCCACACCTGCAATCATGGATTCTAGCCAGGCCCAGACTCCAGATGCCTCACCGACCTCTCCTGCTTCAAGATCCAACCCATCTACCAAAAAAAAAAAAAAATCCACATCAACCTCGAAAGCGAAGCCTTCAGTGTCAGTACCGAAGGAAGCCTCGATCAACCGATTCCACGATGTCGGCCCTGAAATCGACCTCGGTCCCGTGAGACCCACCTAGGAAGAAAAAGAGGCCATTGGCTCCCCATGAGGCCAAGCCCCCTTGTGCTTCCTTGCCTGGGGATAAGCCAGATCCGTCTGCCCCATCTGCAGATGACATTCGGAAAGAGATCATGTGCCTCGAATCGTTGTCTGGGGATGAGGGTGATAGCGATGGGGTCTCACCGCACCGTGGCTTCCTGCTTCTTGAGTCAGGCTAGAATGGGGGAAGCCTGCCCCACTCACTGTGTGCCCGGCCGTCAGAAGCACCCTTTGTGGTAACAGCTGCCCTTCTTTTCTCCTTTCTAGACCTGTGCAACCCCAAGGCAGTGCTTATCTGGGACAAAGCCCGGGACCAGAGGCTGATTTCAAAACTGGTTGGATGCTTATCATCCAGCTGCAAGGGTGCATCCTGGGTACAGATGCTGAGCCTGCCAGAAGGGAGGGAGAAGCTGGAACTGCTGGCAATTCCTTATGCTGCCCAGGTGAGCCCCCTCTGCTTCCCTGGGAGGGCTTTCCTCCCTGGCTCATTTCCTTTGAAAGCAGCTGCACCTCTGAGCGACGGTCCAAGGGCTGTCCCCTCGGGTCAGCTCAACGGGCCTCCAAGAGTGTGAGATCCTTTCGGTGCAGGATGTCAGGCTGGTCGATTCAGCCCTGCAGAATCGTTTGCTGCCTCTCTAGTAGGAACTGTGGCGGCTGTGTCCGGGGCGATGGTGTGGTCCTAACAGAACAGAGTGAACCCCCGTTTTCTCTTCCTGCAGCAACTCCAGTATGAGGCTGGAAAGGAGGGGGCCCCTGCTGTTTCCTCTCCTCCTCCTCCAGAGCTTCCCCCTGTCATACAACAGCTGCTGCCTCCTCCGGGTGACCTGCAGCCACGCAGCAAAAGGCGAGCAGGAGAGGTCATCCATTTGCAGCTGGAAAAGAAGCACAAAGTTGAAGCCACAGCACCCTGGGCAGGATCCGATCCTCTGCTGCGGTAAGTCTTTGAGTTCCGCTGTGGGGTGTGGAATAGCTGCCAGCGAAGGCAGGGTCAAGAGCATCTGTCCTTTCGCTGACACGCCCAGGACAGCGCTGGATCCTAACAGAGCAGTGGAGGTTTGAAACTCTTTTCTTTGATCTGTGGAGAGTTCCTAGAGAGAACAGCCATAAATGGAGCTGAGGGTGATGGGTGCGTGGGGTTTTTTTTGGGGGGGTTGCATTTTCAAGGGGCCGGGCGGTGGCTGCAGTTGGAGATCCCCGCTTTCCGGAGCAGGGCGATGTGGAGCATATGCCAGCAGGTGTGTTGAATCTCAGCTTGGCTCTCCTCAGCTGCCACGGGAACACAGAAGCAAGAGGCACGCCCGGCATCAAAGCCCCCGAGGCCTGCTTGTTGCCCACCCTGGAGGACAGCCGTCGGAAGGCGGACGCCCTTCCCGGAGCACCCCTGTGCCACGTAAGTCCTGGCTGCTTAGGAGCCATCGTGTGGAATTCCAACAGCGCCCTCAGTGTGGTGGGCCCTGGGCTCGGCAGGGCTTTGCAGCAGGAAGGCGGGGAAGCCCTCCCCTGTGGAGTCGTGGGGGCATTGACGTGGGCGGCAGCCACGGACCACTTATGCTGGAAACCATCTTTCAGGTGGTTTTCAACCTTTCAGGTGCTCTGCCCTTGGGAAGAGAACAGGCAAAAACGTCATCTTTTTCTGGGAATGACCTTTTCGTTTCTTTCAGCCCTCGTGGATTTCTTTGAGAGCAAGAGAGCTCTGCCCTTGATCTCTCTCTGAGCTCCTCTCTTTCTCTTCTCTGTAAGAGGACGCCCATTGATAGCCACCCGGCCAGAATCTGTTCACCAAGCTGCAGAACTCTGTTTTGCTGCTAAGGAGCCATTGGATAAGAATCAGGGAGTTTGTGTCTCTCGACCAAGGCAACTCGGGGGCCAAAGTGGCTCTGGGGTGTGTGTGTGTGTGTGCGTGTGTGTGTTTTCATGTAGCAATCATTACAGTTGGTCATTTCTGCAAGAAACATTTGGGGTGCAGATATGGGCTGGTGATTGTTTTGCTCAGGCTCTGCACACGTCTTGTATTTTCAAGGAGGCCTTGTGGGGTCCCTTCCTGGCTGACTTCTTTTCAGCTGCTGAGGTAGAACCTTGAGGAAGGAACCCAGCAGCCGTGCTTGATCAGAATTCCTGGAGAGAGAGAGAGAGAGAGAGAGGCTAGGGAGGGTGCTGGGGGAGGAGGGGCACTTCCTTTGCAATTGGGTGGAATAACCCAGTTCTTACCTCTGATGCTGTTCTATGCATGGCTGTGTACACGTGCACATGCTCTCTCTCTCTCTCTCTCTCTCTCTCTCTCTCTCTCCCACACACACACACACACACACACACACACACACACACACACACACACACACACACACACACAACACACACACACACACACACACACACACACACACCTCTGTTAGCAACAACCCATGCTCCTTGGTTTTTTGGAATACTGTAGACTCCTCTGTGGGGCTGTGGGAAGAGGGTCTTGGATTTACCTCCAGAAGCATCGTCCAGCCCCACAAGTGACCTGTTTCTTGCTTCATGTCCCCAGGTGGCCCTGCAGCTGGACGGTAGTCCGTTCCCCATTCCTGGGTCTGCAGGTAAGGAGGCAAACATTCCCATCTAGCCCTGGGACCCACCGCAGAATACGGCCTCCAGGGGGGTTGCAAGCAGGGCAGGCGGACAGGGTGGGGTGGATGGGTGCCTTCTGGACATTCAGTACTGAAAATTACAAAAGTTCTCAATTCAGGCCAATCAGATGATCTAAAGTGTGTGTCCCACCATTCGCTCAATTTTTCCCATTAAAAAGGTGGTTCTCCTGTTTTCAAATCAGAGTTGCTCCCTAGACTTAATTTAGACTGTGTCTATGAGTCAAACTGTAAAATGAACAAAAGCAAACCAACCATATGTCATGAAAAATGTCTTTTCTCACTGGATGGAGGAGATCCTAAAGCGGTCTTCCAGGCCAAAAGGGGTATCTGAGAAGACCAGTCCATAACTGCCCCAAAAGGGTTGGTTGAATCGGGTGTATTCGTTCGATACTTGTACGTGTCAGAAAGGAGGCAGAGTCACATCTGGAGAATTGCAGCAACCTGCTGAAAATGGCCGTGGTTTTTTCTTGGGTGAAAGAAAGCCGAGGATAGGAAGTTCCCCTCCATACAAATTTCCAAAATGACATATAATTTTTCCTTTTTTTGCTAATTATTTTGAAAAGTGTAAAAAGGGGTGGAACAAAGTACATCTCTAGGAGTGCACTCGTTTTAAGTATATTACCCCAGCTTTATTGGTTGGAATAAACCAAATGCAATCAGATTTAAGCCCAGGGTAAGCATGGAAGTTTTGATCAGTGGATCAAATCCAGGAGACACACCGGGAAGGTTTAAACTCGCAGCTCCTCCGAAGGGGAGCTGGAGATGCTTGGCTGCCGGCATTGCCCTGGCCGTCCACAGAGGTGGTGGTAATAGCCAGTGGGCAGGATTGCACCCAGAGTAATATAGCTAGAGGGGACAGAGGGTGGGTGAAGGGTCGTCTTGGTCTTACATAAGGTAGTCTGGTCATGAATGTGCAGCTGAGGTCCCATGTAAGGCTTCCTCATTATGGATGAATAGACCTATAAGGTCCTATATGGGTTGGGTGCAGACTGCTTGGGGGATCGTATCACCCCCTATGAGCCTTCTTGCCTTTCAAGTTTTATTTCTGGGGAGGTTCCTCTCTCTGTCTTGCCCCCTTTGCAAGCTCGCTTGGTGACGACATGAGAGAAAGGGCCTTTTCTCGGTGGCTGCTCCCAGGCTTTGCAATGCTCTGCCCAGAGAAGCCAGCTTGGGCCCCCTCCCTCTGGTCCTTCCTGATTTTTAACTCACAGGTTCTCAAATGCTTTTCAAGTGTTTTTATACTGATTGTTTTTAATCTTAATGTATGTTTCTTTGGGGTTTTTTTATGTGTCATTTATATCGTGTTTTTACATTTCTTGTTTTGTTTGTTGTGAGCTCTTTGGGGTCTCCTATAGAGTGAAAGGCAGTATATATGCATGCATGCATGCATGCATGCATGCATGCATCAATCAATCAATCAATCAAGAAATCAAGAAATCAAGAAATCAATAAATAAGGGCCTGAAGGGTAAACATAACAGGTGAACTGCCCAGGGAAGGGTGTCCAACTCCTTCTGGTCCTGGAGGACAGCGTGGGCAGGGCAGTGGGGTGGGGGCAGACGTGTGAGGAGCATGTGCCAGGAATGTTTGTGTTCTCTGGGCCAGGATTTAATTTTGTAGTCTTTCAAGAGACCTGATGCCTTGCTTTCCTGCTGTGCATGACAGGTGGTCTGCATGTCCGAGCTACAGAGGGCATTTGGGAGAAGTGTCCCAGTCACAATGCTGCTGCTAAAAAGGAGGAAGAGGAGGAGGAGGAGGAGTGCTTGAAGGTTGAGAAGATGCAGCCGAGCCCTGCGGGCTGCTCCTGGCTGACCTTCTGAGATCCCTCGGCCCTCCCACCCACTTTGGCTTGAGGGGCATTGGTGGGCGTAGCCAGGTCCCCAGGCTTTGGAAGAACGCCACCACCCATAGTGGAGAAGGGAACCTTTAGGATCCTGTTTTGCTGCCTAAAGACGCTCCGTGGGAAGGACTCTGCTCCCTTTTCCCCCTTCGCCTCCAGCCAACCATTGACTTCCAGAACTGCCTGTGCCGAGATTTCCACTGTTCCTCTTGGACGAGCACACTACAAAGCCCATTTCTCTCCCTGCACCCAGGGGCAGCGCTCCATGCCTCCTGCCACCACGCAGTTAGGGCTGAGAGTGCCTGGGAATACCTAGGTAGAGAGACCCCACACACACACCTGCTGCTGCTGCTATTAACACAAGAGTTCACCCCAGGATGCCCTGCTAGCCAATTCCTCCCTGTATGGAGACCTCCTGCTAATGCTGCTTCTGCAGCACTGGGGAGCAGAGATATAACCCTTGCCAGCTGGGCTACATCCTGCCCTTGGAGCCTTACGGGCTGGAGTCTGAAATTGCCGGCATCACCTCTTGTCCTTCCATTTGCCTTGGTGGCTCAGAACCTGCTGGCAGACCTTTCCTGAAGACGCAAAAGGGCCGGGTCCTTGGGCTGGTTCATCTGCTAAGCTCAGTTGTCTGGGCTGACTCTGGGCGTAAAGCAGGGGATTGGTCTCCCTTCAGCCAAGGTGAATAAGGGTGCCTGATATATGTCGGGCTGGGTCTCCTGGGTAGGGAGGCCTTTTCCAGGAAAGACGAGCGAGGGTGCCTGGAGTCTAGGGGCCAGGCCATGGCGGCGGTGGGGGGGGGGCTCTCCTGAAAGCAGCTGCACAAACGCTTGGTCTGTTGGCTTCTCTGCATGCATTTTGAGTTGTGATCTTGATTAGCCCCAGTGTGCGTGCTGCCGTGCCACTTTTCTGTAGCTGGCTTTGGGGGTTCAGGAGCTTTGCCCTCGGCAGCCTGCGGTCGAAGCAGCCCCTGCAAAACCTAGCCCAAGATTCAGCAACAACAACAGCATGGCATTTTCAGTTGCAAGTTTTTCGGTTTCTGCTTCTGCCAAGTCTTTGTTTTGACCTGCTTCTGCTTTAATGCACCTCCGCCTTGTCCGTGGGTCCACCTGCCTCTCTTTGAAAGGACTCTGTGCTATAGAGCAGGCCCGGAAGCACCGAGGGTCTCTTCGCCTGAGGACTGTGCCCGGTGCCCATATGGCTTTATGGCGTGGGACCCAGCACTGCCACCATGCCTTAGGGCATCTTGTGCTTCTGCTTTAGCTGCCCATGGGAGCAAGTTCTCATGCTGCCTTTGGTGCGTGAGCTGCCCACCCGTTTCCTCCACAGGCGCTGGACCCACCATGGAAAGGACAGGTGAGACTCTCTGGAGGAGTTTGGTTTTTGGAGCGCATGTATTGCCAGATGCGTTTGCTTGGACCCACCTGTATTTGTGGCTGTTAATCACTGCTGTGGTTCCATTAATAAAGCATGATTCTTGAAAGTAGATTTTTTTTTCTGGCAGAGATCTCTCTAGAAGAGCATTTGGTACAGAGGGCATACAGTAAGAGGCCTTCCGAGAGGCCGTGCCTCACTTTCTGACCCTTTGCATGTGAAAAGGCAGACTATAATCCACGAAAGCATCCACCTGTGTAGACACCTGTTGGTGTTAAAGGCGCCTCCAGGGCTTTCCCCTTCCATAGCCTTTGTGACAGATGCCAAAACAGACTTAACGTGTTGGTGAAGCTCTGCGTCAAGATGGGTCAGAGCTTTTCGTTGTTTTGGAACCCCGCCACCGCCCTCCTGCGTCCGTTGCAACATGGAGCGGGGGTGTGTGTGCATTTCCCTCCGGTGTGACCTTGCTACTCACAGCGAAGGAAGGTGACACAGGAGGTATGCTTTATCCCTAAAGCTCAGGAAAAACTTTGGAACGGGGACTGTCTAACACAGCCAGGAGATGACACCAACAGCAAGACTCGCTGGAAGAGACGATAAGGTCAGCAGGGGGAAGAGGGCCACCTCACGAGAGACGGGCCAGCTCGCTAAAGGGAGCCACGGCCTGTGTCTGCAAGCTCGGAGCAGGACTGTGAATGGCAGGACTTTTTGGAGGTCCTTAGTTCACAAGGTCATGTTAAGTTGGAGCCAATGACCCGATCTCACCACACCTGGCAACCCGAACAGATGTCCTGATGGCGCAACATGAGCTTGCATATGCTCTGCAAAAATGGTTCTTCTTCGTGGCCTCTGTGAATGCACACTAATGGGTTAAATCTGCACTTGTGCAGAGGCCTCGGAATATTCTAGAGCTTAAAGTAACACTTTTGGCTCCGCCCCCCAGGACCTCATGGTCCGCCCGTCCTAACAGTTACCTCAGTTCCATTTTTTCCGCTGCTGCAGTTAGGTCTCCTGGCTAGAGCTCCGTGAAATTATTGGAAATTCTTAGAAAATATTTGGCTCCTGTTCGATTCTTCATTAAGGAGAGTACAAAGACTTTATTATTTAGGAGGGGAGGTGTGCGTTTTGGCCCTTTGCAAGGGTTTTCCCTCTTTTCCCCCCCTTCCCCCCCCCCTTGGACTGTTCCCAGGCCTCCAAGGCTTCCTCATCTCCCAGGGTTACTTTTAAAAGCTGCATTGCCTTGGAGAGTCGCACAAAAATCTTTGTGTATGCATCGAAGCGGCCTCTGCGTCTGCAGAACCCGACCCTTTACCTCATATATAACCTAGGGAAAAGAGTAAAGCCTCTAAAACTAAGGCCAAACCCTTAGTTTTATAACCACCAACCCCTCATTCTTCAGCTATTCCTAGCCTGCCACCACAGGCTTCCCCGTCCTTGCCTGTCCTCACTCCTCAGTCTCCTGTTGAGTTTCTTTCCTAGGGCTCTTCGCCTCCATCTTCACCGCCGTCGTCGGTCCCGCTTCC